ATGACTCAACTAGAGTGTTTAAATTTTTTTTTATTTTGCCGTGTGCCTCCATTAAATTAAGGTTCAACTTTTAGAGGAAGTCTTTAATATTGCAACACATTAAGCAGAAGGCTTACTCTGTGATGAATGAATCACCTCAGGCAAACGTTGGCAAGCTCTCCCACTCAAGCACTCTCATAACCTGTTAAGAATGGCTTGTTTTTTAGGTGAGGTTTTAAATCTTATGTCCTTATGTCTCTATCTCTGTCTCTGTCGTGGTCTTTCAGTAGGCCCAGAGGCACAACCCGAGGCTCTTCGCTTGATTGCGTAAGTCTTGGCTTTGAAAGGATGCATAACAACTCAAGACTGTATCAGAAGAGCACTGTAGGAGATGACCCAGTTGAGCCTGAGGGAGGGGTCAAGTAAGTAATCAGTCATGAGTCCCTTTGTGCCCACAAGGAATCTAAGTCCAGTCCACCTTTAATTCCTTCTACTCTTATCTCCCGCTAATGTCCCTTGCCTATTAGTAGTTCAGATTCTTGTAGAGAGCTTAAGCTTGCAATAAACCTTCATACCCATTTGAACTGCCTGAATCTTCTGATTTTCCTTGCATTTGTCAAACACCATCATATCAGCTTCAAGACAAGATCTTTGAATCATTCAAAATCCATGGCATGGACTTGCAAACTATTTTGAACTATCCAATTTCTTAGAAAACCAGTATGGTTGCAGGCAATCTGAGAAATTGCTTCCAACTGAAGATAAAACTTTATAGGACTAATTTATTTATTTTAACCAGCATAGATGAATGTGCAGATGGAAACATCCCAAGACTTCGACAGAAGAGAGTATTTGTAGCTCAGGGTTACAAAACTGTGGGGTCCTTGGTGCACTCTAAGCTTAGTGGATTTTTTAGATGTTTCATTACCAAACTAGGTAACATCATCAGTGCACTGGTAAGAAAACCACCAACTCAGAGAGCAACTTGGACCCTGTGCTAACACTTCCTTTGCAGAATAAGGAAATAGTGTTGTATTGCCTCGAGACCATTTCTAAAGCAAGAATGCGGCAATGTAGTTTTTCGGTTGCTGGTTCTATAGGTCTTCATAAATAAAAAATAATGAAAAATATATTTTACTTCTTTTATGCTTTTGAATCCTGTGGGAAGAAGAGCAGGATAATGAATTAAATCTCCTATTATGACATTTTAATGGAATGAATTACAATCAATAACTTTCAGGATGACTTTGCACAATGTATGCTTTTTTCATATACATTTTGTTGAAATGTATTACTCCATCCTGAATTTTTAATGTAGTTTTACTTAGTGCCAAGCTCTCTGCATGATCAAGGAAGCAAGAATAATAACCATTTCAGTGAGGAGTTTTAATGCAAGAATTAAATAAGGGACAGAATCAAGAAAGAATTAGGAAATTACAGCCATTTTACTGCCAGGGTAATTATCTAGTATCTTTGAACATTTAATTGTAGTGTGTATTTTTAATTGTATTTTTTGAATTGTAAGCTGCCCAGAATGACTGATTGAGATGGACAGCTATGCAAATTGATTGACTGAATGAATGAATGAATGAAACTTTAAATCTCTTCTTCCTTGATTTTTTACAAACTGAGCCTTCCCTTTAAGAGGGAAGCTCCAAATTGAGCTGCTGTCCCTTCCTTAGTTGTTTATGTCTACTGATTTTTGCAACCCCCACAGTCTCTTGCATCAAACAAAATCCTAGTTATTAGGCAACTTAAGTTAAAATCTTGGTGTTCTAAGATTAAATAGCACAGGATTGACTGATGCTGGTGGCAGTGATGGTTGTGACTAGATGTCATCTAAGGGTGATTTTCATCTTAACTGTGGCTTAGCATAAACCCATTCTTTGTGAACTACCTAAATATTTGTCTCACCATCTGAGATCACCTAGTTAACTGTATCTATGTTGAACATGAACAAAATTCAGGTATCTCGCAAAGTTCATCTTGTATCTGACAAAGATCATTAGATTCTCACAACTACATAGTGAGTTTTATAGTTAGTGTACTCTTAGTGTTATTTTGGGTTTTTTTTGGTCTCCCACAGTTGGCCTATTACAGGTAGTCCTTGACTAACAACCACAATTGAGCCCAAAATTTATGCTGCTTAGTTAATTAAGTGAATTTTGCCCCATTTTACGACCGTTTTTGCCCCAGTTGTTGAGTGAATCACTGCAGTTGGTTAGTTCCTCAGTTGTTAAGTGAACCTGGCTTACTCATTGACTTTGCTTGTGAGGTTGCAAGAGATGATCACATGACACCAGGGGACTGCAACCGTCATAAATATGAGTCAGCTGTAAAGCGTCTGAATTTTGATCACATGCCTGTGGGATGCTGCAAAAGTTGTCAAAAATGGTTCTAAATCACATTTTTTTCTGTATGATTGTAACTTCAGACAGTCACTAAATGAACTATTGTAACTCAAGGACTACCTGTATTTGAATTTTTGTAACAAGCTTTCCCATTTTTTTTGTTAAGTAACTTCACCTTAAGCTTTGTTTGAAAAGGCACAGTGTAAATCTCTAAAAGTACACGATATTGGTTATTACAGGATGCAATATAAAATACACCCTTAAAATAATACCAATAATAATAAAATAGCAGTGGAAAGCAACTATAATAATAATAGCCTTTGTGGAGTGAAAATACTAAGAATGTAACCAAGGGATTATTTTGATGCACCAATATAAACGATAAAAGCTAGAGGATGATAAAATATCAGCTCGGTATTTTCAATTATTCAAAATTCAGGTAAACGTGTGGGAGTTTCCACGGCTTATTCCCCATCTGTGTGAATTTGATACATAGTCCTCCATATAACATATTTAATCCATAACTATTTCCATGGAGTTTCATTGTAACAGCAAAGGATTTGGCAATCCCAAAGATGCTTTTTCAAAAGTTAATTGGACTCTGATTTTCCTTGAAGA